AGAGGCTCGGGTCCATTAGTGCTCCACCCCCCCACAGGACCAAGAGTCTGCATACAAATAAGCCAGAGCTGTGAAACGCACGTGCAAGCAACACTCAGGTTTTGAAACAATACTAAAGTACCCACACACAAAAACCCCATAAATTTCCGTAAGAGTTTACAGCCGGTGAACGCGAAAAAGATTATATGGCAAGTTAATATAGTATATAATATACTATCTTTAAATAATATGAATTGTATCAGCAAATTTTTTAAGCTAAAAATTCTAATTCTACACATGGTTACATAGGAGGTCACGTAGTACTTTGTCTTCAAACTACTCTTCTTCTTCTATGTTTACCGGCTGTAAGTTCCGGCAGCAAGTCCTAGCAGTTCATCCATTTTGGATTCTAGTTTTGTGCCAGGGCCTAGGTTTTGCCTGTGCATCCGTTTTACTGGCTTTTGTGGGTGCAGTTGGTTGTTCCTTCCCGCTTGAGCAGATGCACTCCGAATTTGAAGGTAGAACTCCCAATTAGCCGATTCCTACGACAAGCCCTTTGTGGATACAGTAGGGTTATTTCCCGCCCCCACCCCAATAAGGCCCTGGAACCCACAGAACCCGAGTTCCAGTCCGGCCCCTATGATAGACACACAAACATTTAAAATTGTTGTGTTAATTTGTAGATCATTCGAATATTTTAAGCAACCTCCAACTTGTGCTTTCTTTCATTTTAATTCTTATGTCCTCGGTAGTATAGTGGTAAGTATCCCCGCCTGTCACGCGGGAGACCGGGGTTCGATTCCCCGCCGGGGAGGCTATTTTTTAAAAAATGTTTTCAATTTTTTTTAGCAAACTAATTTTTGCAGTTAATTCTACTAATTCGGAAGTAGACTTTTTAATTTCCATCGAAGGCTCGAAAACAGACTGCAAAAGTAGAAGTGCTTTTGTGTGCGATTTCCGTTTAAAAAAAAATAATATGCACGCTTGTATCTACCAACGGGCTAAGGTTTAAACAACGGAGCAACATCATGGCACATGGGTAGTTAACCATAAGTGCTCCGTTCTACTTTTAACTCAAGTCTAAGCCCGAAGAATCTCGGCGCAGTGCACGAACTCTGCAACATCGACGAAGATCCTGAAAAACTGGATAGATTTTCAACTCAAAATTGTGCTCAGGCAGCGCTTTTAGGCTACTTTTTCAGATTCCAACTGCCAAGGGATTTTTTGTGTGTGCGCACCAACACACACGGGCGTGCGATTTTATTACCCGGAGACCACGGGGGAAATACTAGAAGTCCACGTGAAAATTACCAGCCTTCACCGGGGCCCAAACCCGGAACCTCATGCACTCGAGGTGGACGCCATGACCCCAGACCACGCAGCCCCCTACGGGCATCAAATTGAGGTTTTCCCGTCACCACTTTAGTTTGCATATTTGCCTTACAGCTGGTGATCCTCATCGCACGGTGTCACTATGTATCACCGGGTATTAATCTTTCTGTGTGATGTCCTGGTGGGGTAACATTTACTGACTTACTTACTTGGGGTATTTTATGTTGCAGTGTCAAAGTAATAAACCCAAGAAAGTGGGGGGGGGGGGGGAGAGAAATTAATATTGAAAATGACGCATGAGTTCTGTTTTAGAGGCAGCAGATTGTCGTTGAGTGCAGGATTGCTTAATACATTACTAATTACGAATATCTATGTCTTGTTTTTGTAGATAAGGCTTTAGCAGGTGTCTTGTTACAGAGAAAACATTGGGGGGGGGGGGGGGTCAGTTTTTCTTCCCTCCTCAATAATTTTCAGGCCCTGGGGGGGGGGGGGGGGGTCCCTGTTCAATTGCAAAACAAGCACAACGATTTTAATTAATTAATGTATTATTGCGCGATTAAGCAAAACAAGCAAAGCTCTTTGAGGCAGTGGAAAACCGAGGGGCGGAAGGGGGGGGGGGGGGGATTACCTTTAGCCTTGTGTAATTGTAGTGAATGGCGAATACAAACTATTGTTTAGTATTGTGTGTGGGTGTGTGTGGGTGTGTGTGTGTGTGGTCGGCTCTGTGGCTATGTCGATGCGAACGCTTCGTAATGCCGAGTTGAACTGAACTGAATTTCTACCCCACCAGGACATCACACAAGCGATAAACACCCGATGACACAGAGTGCCACCATGTGGATGAGAATCGCCGTGGAGAGGTCCCAGAAACCGCGTTCAGACATTTGGCCATATATATGGCCGGCCTATATTGCGGCCCCTGGCAAAAGCCAGAGTAGGGCTTCAAATGACAAAAAATTTCGTCCTAAAAAGGACGAAATTGGATATAATTACCCAGGTAAGTATAATGCCGAGTTCAATCCCAGCCGCAGGCCATGCGCCTTGCATTGGTTTCGACAGTGGTATCAAGAAAGCTGACCGTGCAGTAAGTAATGGCAAACTACTGGACGTAAATTTGCCTAGAGAAACCACACAACAGACAGGGGCTGTTGGAGTTGGTTCTGCAACGTCGTGTAAAGGATACACAACTAACCACTGTGTGTGTGTTGGGGGGGGGGGGGGGTGAAGGGGGATGCCCAAGGTGCCGAACTCCTCAGGTTTTGCCGCCTACGGGCCTTAGTTTTCAATTACATTAGTTTTCCTATCATATTCTATTTAAGCTTCAAACCAGTTGGTAAATTTTTTTGCAACGTGATTTATGGAGAGAGAGAGAGAGAGAGAGAGAGAGAGAGAGAGAGAGAGAGAGAGAGAGAGAGAGAGAGAGAGAGAGAGAAAGAGAGAGAGAGAGAGAGAGAGAGAGAGAGAGAGAGAGAGAGAGAGAGAGAGAGAGAGAGAGAGAGCTTCATGACACATTGCATGAATATTTAATTTCACAAATACGAACAAGAATACACAACATAGACAGAACTGCTACAATCTCTTATAGATCGTAAGCTGTGGAGAAGCTTAACTGCACACGACAGTCGGCGGTACATTTGGTGATGACGATCATTTGATGCATTTTTTAACGCATCGCTCTACTATGATTACCCTTTTCTCTTATGAATCGAATTTATTCGTTTCCTAACTTGTCCCAGCAATTTATTTTGTTTACTAAGTTTTTTTCTTCAAATATTTATTTTTAAAGTCGCCTAATAGCCAGCCGTCTCATGTTAGCATCATTTATGATACAGATATTATTTTATGACAAACTGCTCAACATTCCCCCCCCCCCTCCTTTCCCCATAACTTCATCCCAAACTTCCTATTATAATCACGTATCCATGTTCTCACCATTAGTCATTTTAACAACGATATCATTGTTCAACACAGTTGAAATATAACTGAGAAATATATCATCATCGTCATCATGTAGCAGGTCCTTTGCAGAACGTCGCTCTCATCACAGTTTGCCTGTAAGAAACTCGGTCTCTTGCCAGTTCTCCCGCCTCATGAACTTTCACACTCAAGGAGTCACTTATATCTTGTGCCCATCTTGGTGTCGGTCGGCCCCTGGCGCTTGATATGACCAAAATATTTCAGCTTTCGAGAAATGATGCTGTTTGTTAGCCAATCTTCCTTGATGTTCAGATCTTTTAAGATATCAATATTTCTCATCTTCTTTGTCCAAGATATTCTGAGAATCTGTCTATAGCATTTCAGCTCAAAGGCCCATATTCTCTTTCTTAAGGACTGAGAGATAGTCCACGACTCACATCCGTATGTAGCCACAGGGAAGATGCATGCTCTCAAAATTCTAATTTTTATCTCCTTGCTGGTGCTTAACCATAGACTTTTAAGGCTGTTTAATCTTTGCATTGCTATGGCCATCCTCTTTTTAATTTCTGTCGAACAGTCTCCATAGTAGTTTATTATAGAGCCTAGATATTCACAGTTTGTGACATTTTCAATTTCTTCATCATTTATTGTTATTTTTGGGTGCCAGCCAGTTTTATCTGTGGACATTATTTTCGTTTTATTTAAATTCAAGAACAGATTTTGATCTTCACTGTGCTTTTGGACGGACAATATTAAATTTTCTATTCCTTCTACGCTGTTCGAAAGGAGGACTGTGTCATCTGCGTAGCGGAGTTCCGGAATAGGGTTGCCACCAATTTTAAGCGGATCATAACTGTCACAAGTCTGGTCATTTTTGACATTTCTAATTATATTTTCTGCGTATATATTGAATAGGTATGGTGAGAGAATCCACCCCTGCCTCACCCCCTTTTGCACCTCGAACCAATCAGATGTTTCACCAGCTGCTCTGATGGCTGCCTGTTGTTCATGATAGAGATTTTCAATTAAATGCACTGGAAACCCCATACTTTTCACAATCGTTCACAGTTGGTGGTGCTGGACACAATAAAATGCCTTGCTATAATCAATAAAACAAGCATGAAGATCTACATTGTATTCTCTGCATTAAAAAAATTATTCTCATATTAAATATGTGATCCCAAGTTCGCCTACCCTGTCTGAAACCCGCTTGTGCTTCATCTAGTTCATATTGAAATATATACATTTGTTTAAATGCCAATATTGAACATTTATGCTTGTCAGTTACTTCTAGTTGTTCAGTACTGTGTAGATTGTGTGTATTTAATAATTATTATTAATACACAATATATCCAACGTGTTTCCCCTATGACGTGACCAAAGAATGCAAATTTAAATGTAGATTTGAACAGACATTGTACAACATATCCGGCATAGCTAGTTACTCAACCAAAACATGGAGTTGTGTGTATGAATGAAAACAGTGTTAAAAGTTTTGAAACAGTAAGATTAAAACATCTTAAAAGACAATAATAAATTGTTAAATTATCTCCTCATCTGTGTTCATGTTGTTGTAGACTCAACAGTAATACTAGTAATTCAAGGAAGGATTAAATTACTGGAGCATTCTAGTCATTCATTCATCAGTTACCTGATGGCTATGCTTGATGTGTGGTCGTGTGATGATGCAGAAGTGAGATGTAGTTTTCGGTTTGAAGAATTTTTTCCAAGTTGCAAGTTTAAAACTTACCTCTGCCACGGACTACACGAATATGAATAGAATTTTTAAAATAAGATTTAGGAAGAAGACTTGCAGTTCACGGAGATATTTTCGAGGAATTTTTGTCTGTCTGGTGGTTGCAAGCAGCATACTCATTTTGATTTTCTTGTTCGCTTTGCACATTCGCAAACCAGCTGTGTTCACGCTTTACACATGCCTGGGTTCAGAAAACCCTGCAGCAGGATTGTCAGTTTCAAACTACGAGGCGTTTTTACAAGGACATCTTTGTAAACACAACTTTAACGATAGTGTCTTAAATAAGCATCGACTGTTAGATTTGGAAGGGGATGATGTTTTGATTTATCTGCACATACAAAAGACAGGAGGTGGTTCTTTTGGTCGGCATCTAGTTCACAACCTAGACGTGAAGTTTCCTTGTAAGTGTTTACCTGGGATTAAGAAGTGTGACTGTTTGACGAAGGCTAGGAGACATTGGTTGTTCAGTCGTCATGCTACTGGGTGGATGTGTGGTCTTCATGCAGACTGGACAGAGCTGGCCGACTGCATTGATGTGTGGTTTCAACACAACGATGCAAAGTCAAGAAAACATCGAATGTGAGTATTGAATGTAGAATATTCTTCTTTCCTCTACTCTCAATGCAGGAAATGTCTTGTAGCATCAGGGCAGGAAGAGATCTCTGACCAGTCCTTCTGTTTCTCACCTATATTTCCACAGTCCATCTTCTGTGTGTTCAGTCTCTGGCTCCTCTGTTGTTACACCTGTAAAGAAGCAACATGAGCACTACACATAATCATTCATCAGTAATTTGACAATGTCTAATGTAACTAATTATATTTAGGAAATAATTTTGGTAGCCAGTAACGTTTGTTTTTAAAGTGTCATCTAAATCAAGTGTCAGAAGACATGATTGGATGGTTGTAATTAACCGGAAAGAGCCAGTTACGCATACATCTAGTAAATCTTGAGACTAAAAAAATTAAAATTGTTTGGTGTTTATGAATTTAATTGCCCAGCTTAGCAACACGAATTGGATTTAGAAGGGGTGTTTTGATTTATCAGCCTATCAAAAGACATGAAGTGGTTTTTTGGTTAGCATCTCTTGCTCACAACCTGGATATGGAGTTTCTTTGTAATTGTATGCTGAGATTAAAAATAAAACTAATGTTACCTTATGACTGAATAGAGTTTCTGTGATTTGTATTTGGGATATTTTATCTGAATAAGGATGCATCGTACTTTGCGTCACATGGTGTTAACGGCTTAGTATGCAGTCCTAGTGGGGTTCAGTGTCACTCATTTTATTAAAAGTGAGTCACTTTGGTTTTTGTGTTCCCCATGTAGGTTCCAGGTCTTAAGGCACTCTTTTTGGATTGGACAAAAGAATAGACCTTATAGGTTTATTACTTTTCGTCCTTCTTAGGACGTTATTTTTTTTTATTTGAAGCCCCACTCTGGCTTTTGCCAGGGGCCGCAATATAGGCAGGTCATCATTATGGCCAAGTGTCTGAATGCGGTTTCTGGGACCTCTCCACGGCGATCCTCATCCGCGTGGTGGCACTTTGTGTCATCGGGTGTTTATCGCTTGTGTGATGTCCTGGTGGGGTAAAAAGCCAATCCAATCCAAAGAATAGACCAACTGTGCATATTAAGTTGTTAAAGGGGACTAATAAAGGATTTAATGAAGTAGGCTGTTTAGCTGAAAGGCACAGATATTGCAGCCTAGCTGTAAACTACAACACAACCTGTCAACTGCCCTTTATAGGGTGAACTTAAGTAGAAGGTTCCTGTGTGTTGTGGTAGTACAATGGCTAGCATGCTTGCCTGTTGGCAACAATTGACATGATACATCCCAAAGTAAAATTGGTTGCAGAAAATATTCTGAGAAGTTTAAGGCAGGTGTCAGAATATTAACCACTTCATCACCGAGTGGTTTTTACGAATTATGGGACTAGGATAATATACCCTATACATCCCGAGGATGTTATTGTTTGGTCTTTAATGCTGTTCAGATGCCAAAATATTTTATGCACTTAAGTTGTTACTTCTTCTTCAGATTCACTGGCTGTAAACTCCAGCGGAAAGTTCTGGATGTCTGTCTACCTCTGGACTTTAGTCTTGTTCCAGAACCTGAGTGTTGCGTGCAAATCCGTTTAACAGATATACTTAACTGTACGCAGGTTGTTGGTTCCCAGCCTCTCAAGCAGATGCACTCAGACTTTGAATGAAGCCTCCAATTAGTCGACCTGTACGACATGCTTGTTGGGAAGGCAGTGGGTCTATTCTCGTTTTCCCTACAGTAGGGCCCTGGAACCCCCATGGGGAGAGGGGGTTTGTTACTAATCTACCTGCATGAAAGATTTATTTCTTGATGCTTTACACTTTTATCTCCCCTAAGATTGCATTCAGAGCTAAACTTTTATTAGTCATATACTTTGAACTTAATAATTGCAGACCTGATAAGAACCCAAGGAATGGTTCTTCTTTTCAGAAATTCCTTTTATCTAGATACAAATTCAAGCAAGAAACATTGCCAGGACAAATTGTTCTTTACAACAGAAATTCGCCACATCCAAGATTGCATTAAGCTTTCTGCACTGTACTTATGTCGTAACTACAAATTTTCAGTTTTGTGACTTCCTTATACATGTATTAAGCAAAAACCTATTGCAGTTTGAATTCGCATTATTTAGTGTAATTATCTTTATTAACTTTGAGTAGCGGCTTTAGTAGAAATGCTGTTTAAATGAAATTTTTGACGTAACTTCTATTTCTTGGCAGCTACCATTACTTGACTTTTCTTCGAAATCCAGTGCATCGATTTCTGAGCGAGTGGCAGCATGTGCATAGAGGTGCTACATGGAAAGCTGCAAGACTTCATTGCAATGGAAAAGGTGCATCACTGGACGAAGTTCCATTCTGTTTTAGTGGTGTCAATTGGTCCGGGGTTTCACTGGATGAGTTTCTGTCTTGCAAGTAAGTGTTCACTGTTTTATTTAAACTTGTCTTTATTTTGGTTCCAGGACTGTAATTTGTTTTATAGTGGTGGGGGGGGGGGGGGGAATAGGCCCAAAGCCATCCCAACAAACTTGTTATTAAAGGCGACTAATGAGGCATTTGCTGAATTCTGATGTGTTGGGCCAGAAGATGCCAGTGTCACAGACTAGTTGTAAACGGCAGTACTACATGCCAATCACTGTTTTAATCTCTGCCGTTGCCATCCCAGGCCCGGGATGAGAAAAGAGGAGGGTTGATCCTGGGGCCAAAAGTTAATTGCTACAGAAACTTGCATGAATGCAAGTCATTCTGGTAAACATTTCAGTAAAGTGTGTGGTGCAGAGTGCATGAATTATGGTTACGGATTGAATCTGCTCTGCGGAAGTCAGTGACTAGACATGCACACTACTTGCTAGGAAAATATGACTAGAATAGGTTTTAGAATTTAAACACAGGCAACACACTCTGCCTAAGAAACAGAAAAGATGCCATCTAGATATTTTAGGTTTACATGCAGTTAGGTTGCCTGCAGCAGATAGGAGTGGTTAGTGAACTTACCCTTATATACTCAGGGGGAGAAGATAAGAAACGCTTGGAAGGAGTAGGCATTGACACCCAGTTGCAAATATCTACTAGAATGGGAGCCTATTTTAACAGGGTTCGTAGCAGGCCTTAAAATCTAAAAAAAAAAACACACACAAAAGTCAGGAAATGCAAGTTCCCTCTCAAGGTCTGGAAAATACTTGGGATTTTTATGAAAACTGACAAAAATCCTGCACCTTTACCCACCAGTATTGGAACTGTGCACACTGTATCTGGGACTTCTTCTTCTTCTTCACTTCCTCTTTTACCGCTGTGGGTGTCGAGGGAGATATAAGGTTCTGTTTCTAGCTCTTCTGGCTGCCTCGACCATAGGCACATCGTGCTGTTGTAGAGTTTCTCTGATGTTATCCTTCCATCTTGTTCTTGGTCTACCCCGTGCTCTACGTCCTTCTTCTCTTTCCATGTATGCTTTGTATGGTATGGTGTCACAAGGCATTCTCTCTAAGTGGGCAAACCATTTCACTTGCTGTCTTTGTATGTAATCCAGAATTGGTTCTGTGCCGACTTGTTCTCTTATGATCTCATTCCTGATCTTATCTCTTATGGTCACTCCTACAGCCCTTCTAAGACATCTCATTTCCGTGGTTACTAATGTTCTTTTATGGTTTGTTGTGAGTGACCATGTCTGGCACTGGTAGCACAGAGTTGGAATAAATATGCTTTGAATTAGATGTCTCTTTGTGCTGATTGGGATTGTCTTATGCTGTAAGAGGGGGGCTAGCTGTCCCAATACTTGGTTTGCTTTACTGCATCTAATGTCAATTTCTTTATCCAATTTCCCATCTTCGGTAAATGTAGTTCCCAGATATTTAAACTCAGATGCCTGTTTAATGCCTTTGTATTCTATTGCTATGTTTAGATCTGTCTTCTTTTTTCCTATTGACATTACTTCTGTTTTTTCAGTGTTGATTCTCATATTATTTGTTTTACATTCTTCATTCATGGATGTTAGATGTTGTTGCAATTTCATGGCTGTATCTGCTATCAAGGCCTGGTCATCTGCAAAGAGTAATTCGTTGATCTTACTAAGATCTTCATTCATGGGCTTGACATTCTTGCATATACTGTCGATGTAGGTGATAAACAGCAGTGGTGATAAGACACACCCCTGTCTTACTCCAGATGTCACTGTGAAAGGATGAGATGTTCCCTGATTTATTCTAACTACATTTCTACAATCCCTGTATAAACTTTTGCACACTTCGATGAGGTGTTCGCTTACTCCATATCTTGCCATTTTTTTTCCATAATAATTGTCTGTCGACTCTGTCAAATGCCTTCTCCTGGTCTACGAATGCCACAAATAAGTTCTTATTGTATTATATGTTCTTTTCTATTAACTGTTTAAGTGTGAAGATTGCATCAGTGCAGCTTCTATTTCTCCTAAATCCCATCTGTTCTTCTGCCAGCTGTGGTTCTATCACTGGTCTCAGTCTTGTTTCTTTAATCTTGGCATACATTTTGCCAACATGGCTTAAAAGAGAGATGCCTCGATATTGACCACATTCTCGTTTGCTTCCTTTGTTCTTCCACAATTGTATAACTATTGCATGTTGCCAATCAATAGGGGCCGTTTGTTGTACCCATGCTGCATTGAATATTCTGTGAAGCCATCTGATGCTGCTTTCACCTGCTGCTTGAATTATTTCTGTTGGTAATCTATCAGCTTCTGGTGCTTTATATTTGGGAGACTGTTTAATGACTTCTTCTATTTCATCCATTAGTATGTGTGGTTCTAACACTGTTGCTCTGTGCTCTTCAGTTGTTCTCCTAGAGGATTAAAGAGCTCATTGAAGTATTCCCTCCATCTTTCTGCTATCTCGGGTGGATCTATCAATGGCCTTCCTGTCTGTATCTGGGACAAAGAGAACAAAAGGAGAATTTCCTGATATTTTGAGCAGTGTGGCTTTTGCGGTTAGTTTTTCTAGTTACACCGCTTTTTAATGATCGTCAGTAGACTGCGCGGGCAAGAGTGTGGGCTACTGTCGTTTTAAATGAGTAGCATTTTAAATGTGTGCCGGCAATCGGTGAGCCGAGCAAATGATACGCAGTTCACGATCTGATTGTTTGCTTTGCAGGGTGGAGTATGAATGATGTGGAGAGAGCTAGCTATCTTCACCCGTCGTTCCTACCCCCCCCCCCCCACCCACCCCCCCTTTTTCGGTTGGCATAGCAAGGTCAGCTAGTACCCAATGCAGAACAAACCCCTCTGCCCTCCACATTCATAGGCATTAAAATATGTATATAATTTTAAAAACACATTTGCCACCCACCCCCACTTACACACTGATGACTCCAGGGATGGCCTCACCTCTCTTTTCCTACAGTGATAACACCCAGGGTGACTGCACCCCCCCCCCCCCTCCTTCTACAGTGATGATAGCCAGGGTGGCCCGCACTCCTGCTACCTTCTTCCCCCTGTATCTCTCCTTTCTTTCTTTCCTTTCTTTCTCCCCTGTCTCAGTGCTGCCTTTCTTTTCTTACTCTCTATTCTCTCTCTCTCTCTTTCCTCTCAGAAAATCAAATGTCCACTGGTACATGACTTATTTTCTGGGCAGGATCACCTATTTTCTTATTAAACTTGTCTGGTATTTAGGCACAACTTATGGCTGGCACGGGAAAGGTTCGGGAGGGTATGGAAAGGTTGGGGGCTTTGGTGAGCGTGACCTCAGTTAAATTTCCTAATTCTATTTTTGCTGTTTCAACCTGTTTATTCATCTGGGTCCCCCCCTCCCCCATCTTCTCATATTTTATTCCCTATAATTGTCACCACTAATGTCTTGATGGAAGCCATTTTATTTTAACAGCTAGATGCTCAAATGTTTGCTGGGTCCTGAATGAGCTAGACCTTTTTCAAAAACGACCTTGGCTCCTAGGTTAAAGCAGTATTGAGTAAGTAAACAGCTAAGCATGAGATGAGAGGGAGAGCAGTTCAGTCAGTGCGGTTGTTTCTGGACCATTATTTTCAAAGGGTCACCAATTGGGCACGCAGGCAGGCCCATCTTATATTCAACCCTTCCAAACACCCATCTTTCACATATCACATTAACAATAAATCGGATCAATTTGCGCCCATATGTATGCAAACGAAACTGAGGATAAAGAATAGCAATATTATTGCAATGGTTTTATGTTAATATTTATAGTCTTCTTTGGATGCAAGATTTTATAAATTCTAAATACTTTTTATTAATTAAAGTAGAACATTTTTTAGCTGCTTATTAAATTCCACCTTTTTAATCACTTTCCAGACACAACTTGGCCTTCAACCGCATGACCCGAATGCTGGCAAATTTATCAAAAGTTAACTGCTACAACCACACAGGGCTCAGCCAGGAGCAGGTTGATCAGATCCTCCTCCAAAGTGCCAAGGAAAACCTCTTAGATTTTGCATTTTTTGGGATTTTGGAAGAACAACGAAAGACACAGTTCCTGTTCGAGAACAACTTGGGCATCAAATTTATCACTGACTTCCAACAGAAAGATGAGACTCATGCATCCCATGTAGAAATTTCTGATGAAATGATGCAGAGAGTTCTAGAAAAAAATCGGGTGGACATTGAACTCTACCAGTATGCCAAGGATTTGTTTTTACAACGTGTGGTGTATACGGAAAAGAGACTAGGGCAGACTGTTCAAGAGTACTTCAACCACGCACAAGATGCCTTAGAAAACTCTGGGGCTGATAACAAGAACGTGAGAAAGATTCAGCATGAGGATGAGTATGATAATGAAGAAGAGTATGTTGAGGAAGTGAATGTTTATCCAGGTAAAGGTAATATACAAGCAATTAGATGAGTGTGATGGTTGATGGTGGAGTGTTTATCTTCATTGCAGCCCCATGAAATAAATAGTACAGTGATGGTTTTTAACTGTGCTCTGTGATTTAGCGGTTAGTGAATGTGTTTAACAATTCTCAACTTAATAGGGTTCTTTTTCCATGGTCAAGCTGTATGCCTTGCAGTCTGAAAGTCATAGGTCACAGATGGGTAATTCAGTTCACAATTGCAATTTTTACAGAGATCTCCAGGGATCATTGTAAAAGCTACAGAGTTCATCCTTATTGCGATGCTCTCGGCAGGCGGACAGCCATCCTGCGGAGTGAGACCAAGCTCTTTAGGATAAAATCGGGTGCAGTGAAATCAATCCTCTTGACTTAAACTTTCATGTCCTTTATCGAAGCAACATTTCTCCCTCATTTTGCCCCCCCTTCCTTACTCGTGACTTTCGAACAGTTGTCTCTGCAGAGATTGGGGCATCCCCACATAATTATTCCCAAAGACGGCAGCATGGGCATTGCAGCAGACCTTCATTGGGAAGATGGCACATTCATTTTTGTTTAGCCTATTGAGATAGTATTGTGGCGGTTGTAATTGATCATTATTATAGCACTGTGGGGACTTTTCAGTTATTTTCATGATGCCATAGATTTTAATTTACACGAGGGAGATGAATGGTCATAGACCACGAGGCAGACCAAGAAGAGATTGGAGAGATAATATCCAGAAAGACCTGCAAACGCTTGGTGTCACCAACTGGAAAGAGAATGCCAATCAGAGAAAATAATGGAGGCAGGTGATATCTGCAGCAATGAACCTCAAGGGCTCGGAATGCCGAAGAGAAATTAATTTATCCTCATTATAGAAAAATTGAATAGCACAGGGGTGTTTTTAATGTATCCTTATAGCTCAGAAAGATGGAGGAGCGACTGACATAGAGCATAGGATGATTTTAATTTATCATTATAGTGATGTGATGAGTTAACAGTTTATCCTCATAATAAAGTAAAGGCCCCTTTTCCACACATGTAGGCGGATTGGGAATATAGGGCTAGACCTTTTTTTCATGGGGGCCTATGTGGCTTGGGCGTTGCTAGTCCGACTTGTAACCCAACATACCGCGATCGAAACCCACAGCTGGCTGAATGGATTTTTATCATGGTATGGGGCGTCGCAGGTCGACCCAGCCTAAAATGGGTACCAGGATGGCTGTCCTGGGGAAGTAAAGACGGCCGGCGTAATGCTGACCACATTACCCATCCAGTGCCGATTGGTCTGTAAAAATATGGGACGCTCTGCCCATATGCCCGATGTGCCTAAGGCGTTAAAAGGGATCTTTACTTTTACTTTATTTTCATAGACCATTCGGCACTTGGTGGATGATGTGGTCAGCACCATGTTGGCCACCTTTACTTCCCAGGACTGCACCTGGTATTCACTTAAGGCTGGCTCATTTGAGAGTCAAGGTCATTTTTGAAAAAAGTCCAGCTCCGTCAGAACACGAACCCACAACCTTCCAATCCACAGGCGGGTGTCTAGTCGGCAGCGCCAGGGAAACTCCTTCATTATAGCACATTTCTGATTTTAATTTATCCTCATATGGCCCAGTGATATAGTAAGTAAAGGTCCCCTTTTCACGCCTTGAGGTGTAAAGGACATAGAGAGCTAGACATATATTTTTATAGACCAATCGGCACAAGATGGGTGATGAGGTCAGCATCACGCCAGCCGCCTTTACTTCCTGGGACTGCACCCAGTCCGCACTCAAGGCTGGGTTGACCTAGGCGTCAAAGTCATTTTTGAAAAAAAGTCTGGCACCATCAGGGAGCGAACCCACGACCTTCCGATCCAAATGCGAACGTCTAGCCGCTTCGCCACGGCGACTCCCAGTGATGTAGTGATGTTTTTAATTATCATCGTATATAGAAAGATAATTTCTTTGCTTTTGTTCCCACATGGTCTCCACTTAAATGTTTTTTTAGGAGCATGCTTTGAAAAGAAGGGTGTTTACAGCTAGGCAGTGATATCTCTGCCTTTGAGTCCAACGCATTCGATTAATTTGTCACCATGCTTGTTAAAGGGCAGTGGGTCTGCCCCCCCACCCAAAACAGGCCCGAAACCCACACAAGAAGAATAAATTCAAATTTGGGGACAGCTGGCAGAATTGGGACGGAAAAGCACGGAGAAACATATAAATGCTTGGATGGCTTTGGTGAGACAAGAATACTGACCTGATCTAGTTCTGGTTATTCTAATGATCATGTGAGATGACCAGTTATACCCATTTATGGGCAGACCACATGACGATCTGATAATTCTTGTCCTCTTCAGCCATTTTAATTGTTTGATATTTATCGATTTGGCTGTATGTTTGAGAAAATCTGTCGAGCGTATCAGCAAAAAGATCTACAGCAAATGTGCAGTAAATATCAAGGTATTGGTTTCTAGAACTTACACCCACACAGATCTAATTTCTGTAAAAGTTGTATCTTTATGGTAGCACTGCCCCTTATTTCTATGAAAATCTGATTTGAAGTCATCAAATCAAGAAAATGGATGTACATTTATGTCAAAATATTCAAAACAAACAGGCATGTTGTTTGCCCACATCATTAATCTAATGCCGATTGGTCTATAAAAATATGAAGCTATCATCATTGTCCTGTGGGCGTACACACGGTGGCATACAACCGGACTGGTGAAGCGCTGCCACGCCAACACGGGATGCCGCTAAAAATTTTATTAGGTATTTTCCCCGGGTAGGTGGGACTCGATAGCTGGGGACAGCGGCCCACCTATGAGAAGGATACTCTGAAACTAAACTACCACTGCCCGGTGGTCAGGCCTTGGTTGGTTACGGGCTAAGGAAGCACATCCTAAAAGAAAAGCACGTTGAAGACGGAGACGCCAGGTCGAAAGGCACAGATAGTGTGGGAGAATATTTTCCCACAAACATGACGTCACGCATACCTTCTTGAATGTCAGAAAACCCTATCAGGAATGAAGACTGTGGTGTTTAATCTTTAACACTTCAGTGAAACCGTATCACGGTGAGCCCTACCTTAAAAGTGGCAACTGTACAACGTCACCACTCGCAAAGCTAGAAAAACAGCCTAGATAATATATCCATCAGAGGGACAAGATGGACGTAGAAGACGTGTGCGCTCTGAGGATTCTACAATGGAATGCAGAGGGAGTCCGCAACAAAAAAGCTGCACTCACAAAACAACTTACGGAAGGAAATATTGATATTGCCTGTATACAGGAGACACACCTGTCAGAAAAGCACAGATTCTGTATTAGAAGCTTCCAGTGCTTCAGACAGGACAGAGAAAATGGTCCCAAGGGAGGAGTCCTCATGCTAGTAAAAAACAGCATCCCAGCAGCTAGTCTTACAGTGGACACAAAACAGGAGTCTGAGATCATGGGTGTCAGGCTTAACATTGCAGGCAAGGAAATTGTATTATACAATTGTTACTGCCCGCCAAGCAAAGAACTCTCATTATACAACATGAGAATCCCAGATGACAACTGTATCGTTCTAGGAGATTTTAACAGCTGCTCTCCAAGCTGGGGATATTCACAGCTCAACGAGAGAGGAGAAGAAGTGGAGGACTGGCAGACATATGCCAGACTCCAGCTAATCAACAAACCAGATGACTCCCCATCTTTTTTCTCCAGGAGATGGCTTTCAACCAGCCGCCCAGACTTAACATTTGCCACGTTAGACTTAGCAAGCAACATATATAAAATGGTGCTCAGCCAACTAGCAGGTAGTGACCACCGACCAATCCTGATTTCTGTTCTAAATATGAGAGGCCTTCATTCGATGCCGCCCCCTCGTTGGAATTACAAGAAAGCTGACTGGAACAGTTTTGCTAACCTTGCTGATGTATACTCGATAAATGTAAACGGCAAATCAAGTCAGGTTGCTAAATCAGTAAAAGAGTTTACAGAAGCTATATTAAAAGCAGCCAAAGAAACCATACCTCGGGGTTCAAGGAAAGATTACATCCCATTTTGGTCCCAACAAATTCAAGACCTCCACCAAACTCTCTCAGAAGCAAGAGATGGAGTAGAAAGCAACCCAACGGTAGAAAACAACATTGCTTACAAAGCAGCAGAAGCTAAGCTAAAAAAAGAAACACTTCAAGCAACTAGGAAGAGCTGGAAAGACAAAACCAAGAGCCTAAGTTTTGAAAAAGATGGGTCCAAACTCTGGAAACTAGTCAAGTGTCTAAATGGAGAAGCCCAACAAGCCAATCCAATAGTAATAAATGAGGGCAATGAGATCAGATCTGGAAACGATGCTGCAAATATCCTTTTAAATCAGTTTAAATCTGTTAGTGATATTAATATAGAAAAGTCCAGAGAAGATGAGGTAGTACAAAGAATAAAAGAACTCGAGGAAGCCAGCAAGAGTAAACCAGCAGAGAGCCTCATGACAGATAAATTCTCAATGAGTGAACTTAACACAGGACTTAACCAGCTTAAATCCAGCCAAGCCCCTGGCCCCGATAAAATCACGAATGATATGTTACTACACATGGGTCTAAGTGCCAAAAAGAAATTATTAAACATCTTTAATGCCAGCTGGATTTTTAGTATTGTTCCTCCAGCCTGGAGGAAGTCTGAAATCTTCGTAATCCTGAAACAAGGAAAGCCGAAGAACAACGCAGACAGCTACAGACCCATCAGCCTCACTAGCTGTCTGTGCAAACTATTTGAAAGATTATTGAACAACCGACTGACCTGGTTCCTAGAGAAAAACTTCAAACTAATGGAGGAACAGGCAGGTTTTCAACGTTGCAGATCAACAGAAGACCAAATTACATTTATTGCCCAACACATTGAAGATGCATTCCAGGAAAAAAAGCACACTATTGCAGTCTGGGTGGATATGGAAAAGGCCTTCGACAAAGTGTGAAAAAATGGGCTGAAACAAAAGCTACTTGAAAGTGGAATATCCTATCACATGCTTGGGTAGATCGTAAAATATCTTGAAAATCGATCTGCAAG